GAAGTGCTGCTTCCCGCAGAAATGCGGGACAAGAGCCCTTTATGCTACCTGGTGGTGTAACAAAGACACTTGCTAACTAAAGCAGGGGGTTGGCAGTAAAGCTTGGATAGAGAAGGGTTATATTTGCAAGTGGAGGAATGAGAGTGCCCCCCAGCTGCTTATTATTTTAGAAGTGATGGTAAAGAGCAGAGTGGGGCTACAGCAGAGGTGATGCTTGTGTGGTAGGATACTGCAGACAAGATGCTGCATGCAGATTGTAATGTGTCCCCCTGAGCAGGGAGCATTGCTATCCCCCCAGATGAGGATGAGCCTTCATCCCATCAGCTCCTCCATGGGGGCCAGGGCTTTGAGGGAAGAGAGCAGGTGGGCTGGGAGAGCTGATCCTGATACTGACAGAGGGTAGATTTAGATTAGACATTAGGAAGAAATTCTTCATGATGAGGGTGACAAGACCCTGGCACAGGCTGCCCAGAGAAGCTGTGGCTGCCCCATCCCTGGCAGTGTTCAGGCCCAGGCTGGATGGGGCTTTAGGCAGCATGGTCTAGTGGAAGGTGTTCCTGCCCATGGCAGTGGGCTTGGACTAGATGAGCTTTAAGGTCCCTTCCAACCCAGACCATTCTGTGATTCTATGATCCTGCCCTGGAAGGGGTGAGGAGGGCAGGCGAGGAGGGAGCAGCTCCCAGCCGTATTTACCACCCCCTTGCAAGGGGGCAGATAACATCTCCTATCTGGCTACGAGCTGGGGACAGCACACCCCAACAAAAACTTGGATTATGGTGAGCAATTGGTTAACAGGGCTGCCCTGTGCTTGCCAGGATTTAAGGACATAGTAATAAAAATGATTGGATTGGTGCTTGAGGATGTGTCCAGGAGAGGCGCATCAGCTGCTTTTTGGGTGGTTTCCCCTGTATCGGGAGAGAAGCTGCTGCTGCTCCCAGCTCTTTGGCAGCAGTGCTGCTGGTAAATGATTGCCAAGGCGGGGCCGGAGGTTGGTGCTGGGTTTGAACCCAAGCAGGTGCCTGGGACTGGTGTGCCGGCAGCCATCCTGCTCCCGCACCCGGCAGCATTCGGCAACCCCTGGAATTTCCGGGCCAGGTAAGGCTGTGAGACACCTGGGTTATTGTTCTCTTATTTCTTTCTAAGCTCCTGACCTTACCCTGGAGTCAGGACAGGGGAAGCCGGGTTTAATGTTAGCTGGGTCCGTAG